CAAAGTCATGTCAGCTGGCTCCACTAAGCCTAGCAGAGTAAACTGAGCAAAGAGTATACATGTAATGCTCAGTTTACTCAACCTGACTTAGTGGAACCAGTTTGGTAAATTCAGCAGTTTATTTCTTAGAGCATGTGTAAAAGTACTTTAACTTTCCCAATTTTTGTGAACAGTGTTATGAGTTTTACTTGACTAGTTTCCTCATCAGTGGAATTTATTTTTACCAAAGTCATTTTCTGTTCATGCAATTTTACTTTTACTTAATTATTTTTTTAAGTACTTTGTAGACCTCTGCCATTCAATGTATCCACAGACAAAATACCTAATTCATTATGTTGTGAAAATATTAAAACAGGTTCATTTTTAAAAAACCTCATCATGTTCTGTAACTCTGACTTTCTGTCTGACCAAGAAGAAGAAGCAATCCCTTACAAAGCAGCTGAAAGTATTGGGGAATGACTCCAGCCTTTTCTGAAATCTGACCTAGTTTTCAGAGTCTGCACTCACCATCTGGTGCAGCAGCAAAAGCAAAGGCTAAAAAAAAAACCACAACAGAGGTCTGCTATTGTCCAAAAATCCTAACTACTCTAGATATATGACATTTTTATAAGTAGTAATACTCGTGACTTACATTCTCAGTGCTGTAGAGGACAGAAGACAGATTTATCACCAAAGAGTTTCTGTGCTTTGCTTCTGCTACTTGTTCAAGGTTTCTGTGAGCGCACACCCTTTTGCTTAAAATGAGCCCACTGAGCAGATCACTGGATGCTGAAGGATTTTTTTTTTCCTAGAGAAAAGCTGATGAAATTCAGCATTTTTGTTTGCAGAGGCCTACAGCGAGGGGGAAAGTCAACTTGTGTGGTTTCTTTCTTTCTGCAGACAGCCTCTCCACAAACAATTTGRCACGTAAAAACTCCTGAACCCAGTTTATTTTGAGCTTCTGACAACATTGACAGCTTCACGTTTATATTAATCTTTGACGGACCATTCAGATTCTGACTGGAATGAAAAGCTCTTTGGGAATCAACTTGCTGGGGTTAAAATCTTTTATAAGCTGACTGTTTTATTGTTTATAAATTCACATCATAAAAATAGTTACAAACTGTTTATTGCATTAGGCCGTCAGTAATATGCCTGATCATCCAAGTTAAAACTAGGTTTTTGTTCAGTTGTCTACTATGTATGTACAAAACATCTAATTATACTTTGAGTCTACAAGACTTTTAATGCCTGAATGTTTCACAGATCAGAGTCAAGTGGCCTGATCAAAAAAGGAGAAAAAAAGTAAAGTGCTTGACTAAAAATGTGATAAATAAGTAGCTAAAAAGTAACTTTGAAAACACTTTTGAACTACTGCTCAAGACCACCTTAAAGGATTATATGAAAGTCTAGTCTCCTCCTTACGCAAACTAAAAATAAATGGTGAGTTATATGACTTTTGCACAGAACTCTACATAGAATTCCCAGCTAAATATTTCAACATGTATTTTTTTTATTAAAAACATATATCTAAAGCATTGACTATAGTGTACTAACTTGTCCAAAACAACTCAAATTAACACTAGATTGGAGTTTAATCCCGTTTTTTCTCTCAATTTCTTAAAACCTATTGACAAGAAAAGCAGTAAATCGAAAAGACACTTTGTCAGAGCACTGAAAAACGCAGTTTGTTTTTCTATGATGTCCGTTTTAAAATATATTTTTGTATTTTTGTTTTGTTTTGTTTATTAACATACCTGCTGACATGGTTGAGGACTATTTTTAAGAGCGGAAGGACACCAAAGAGGCTGAAGAAGACCAAAAACGTCCTGAGAAAAAGAACAAGCATAAAAGTTAAAGAGTTCTATAAATAAATATAGGTATACAAGCGGTCTTATAGCAATATATGTGAAACTATCAAACTGACACGGGAAAACTTAATTAAACAAAACTGAATGTCGTAACAAACCGGTTCAGGTTTTTGGGACAGGTTCACTGACATCACTTGAAGCTAACATTAGCATAACCGCTAGCCATTAGTTATATATCGGCAGGTGAACTATTGTCATCCAAAGAGACACTCAGACTACAAAGTTGTCCCTACGGTTCACTCAAATTAGTAGTAGATGTAATGTCTTTTTAATTTATTTAATACCGTTGCTGCTCTTCGTGGAGTTGTTGTTGTCTTGAGTTTCCTCCTCAGATGAGTCAGAAGAAAGAAGGAAAGTTATGCTTTTAAAGGAACCGCCAGCTGCTGAAGTACCGCGGTTCAAAGGTCGACAAGTGCAATAAACTAAAAAAAAAACTACACACAGACACACACAGAAACACACACACACACACACACAGCCAGAAACAACACGGAGAGGATGTCCTGTCAGCCCGATAAGACTCGATAAGGTACAATCTACACACCACAGTCTGCTGTATGATAGTCTGCAGCACTGGCTCTTCTGGCTCGTTGTAGGAAGTGAAACAGGAAACAGGGATGTCACGAGACCCAAACAGTGGAAAATCTTTCTTCTTCTTCTCTTTTTTTTTTTTTTTTTTTTTGCGAAAGTTAGATTTTTTTTTCCAATGTGTGTGCCTACCTAGTGTCATAAAACATTTATAATAATTGAACAATTGCTAATAAAACTTAATGAATGTCCATCTACAACCATTATTTAACCAGAAGAAACCCTATAGCTCTTTTGGTCTATGGGAGAAAACTCACACAAGCATAAAAACATTCAAACTTCACACAGAGACCTCTGATCCCACCCAGGGATCAAACCCAGGACCTTGTGAGTCAACAGYGATAAACACTTATCTATCATTCTGCTTAGTTAACTTGTTTCAACGTTGCCACCACAGTTAAATAGGCAAACGCACAAGCGATTTTATAAACCAAGCTCCAGTTTGGTGTATTTAGGAGATGAGAGTCACTCCAAATACAGTTCAAGTCCTAAGTAATTRAGCAAGATCTGTTTTTAAAAGCTTTGCCATTAACTAAATGTGTTTTTTTTCTCTCTGTTAGTAAAATATTTTATGAACCCTGGACTGATTTGAATGAAAATTTCATCTACGAGTCAAACCAGTTCAAGATGACCACAACACCCAAGTGACATTCTCTCTTCCAGTTTTACAGATGTTGAGCTAACATTTGCTATGGTAGTAGCTGAAAGTTATCCTCAAGACACACGAGGGCTAACAGAGCTTATTAAATCTTGAAAAATCTCATGAGTTTGTGCATAATGTCTTTATAAAGTTTGTCTTACATGGGTACAACATCACCCCTTCTCATCATATTAGTTTAAAGCTCTGAAACGAAAGGTGACAGGAGATGTACTTTTCTTTAGTAAGTTACTTGCTGTCATGTCGTAGTAATTTTATGCACTTAGTTGTTGAAGAATAAAAATTTAATAGTTCCGTATTAAAAATTTTGGTCAATGGAAGTTAATTTTGTAACGTAATCGCGTAATGCTGATTCGTGTCATATGTGATAACTAAGTCTTGTTTGATAATACACGCCTTTTTTAAACGAATTAAATTAGATATAAAACAAAATTACAGTACTAACAATTACTTAGTCAAGTAACCGGACAGACATTTTTCAAAGCAAGCAACCTTTTTTCTTCAACACGTCATGCTGACTCAGCACCGATTTAAGACTGAAGTCCAAATCCCAGTTGACTCACAAAAACCTTTGGACAATAATAAAACAACAGATAAGATGTTAACTCGTTTGATGAAAATTATTAATAACTTTATTTGTATATGAACTTTATAAATCTATAAAATGTCAACTTTCAGCTGAAAGATTAAAGATGATCAGAATTAGGAAATAGAAACTCCAGTTTGATACACAGAGCCAAGTCTGCTGTTTACTTGTGCTGTAAATCAGTCATTAATCATTGTTTAATGACATTTATTCTTGGTGTACAGATAGCTTATGTTATAGACTGTAAATTAAAAAAAAGGGTTTTGGTGTTGTAAGAAGATTCAGGCACAGATCACAGTAAGTTCTTTGTGTTCTACATCAAAATGTTAATCAACCAGTAAAGATCTGAAAGTCATCTGGTAGCTGGTACAGTGTATTTTAAGAAAAAGTGTGTCTTGTAGGTTTCCCAACAGAGCAGGCGTCTCCTCCCACCCACCACAGCACGGAGAAATGTCACTGGGTAATAATTGCCATGGGGATGGCAGAGCCTGCTGAAGCTGGGGGCGGTTTGACTGAGGTCCATCGCTGAGGTGTGAGGGCTGTCGCACCAACATCTCTCAAATCAGACACTGGCAGGGCACGTTTGATTAGACCGAGCATCCTTACTTCTTAGTCTTATTTATTTATTTATTTATTTATTTATTTATTTATTTATTTATTTATTTATTTATTTACTCTGATGAAGGTCATACCACCGCTTTGGCCTTTTGAAGTTTAAATGTTACCTTAAGGTCAGAGTGTTTGAACTCTGTCCTCCCACCAACACACTGCTTTGCGGGGTCAGTGCAAAGCTACGAGGTTAAAGTAAAGAAGTGTAAAAATACACACCTAAAAAAATTCTGATAAGTTATTTTAAACTTTTGAAGTGGGGTTCTGAGGAAAGGTTATGAACAATTAATATCTTACCTGTTGGAGATAGCGTTCCTCGTTCATTGTATGGGGATGCATTGGTGACCATATGTAGCACATTTACTTTATAAAGAATGGGATGCCAAGCAACCAGCATGAGTAGGAGGTTGTGGCTGTGTATGGTTCTTCCGCATGCCACGGAGGCCCCTGTTTGTTAAATTATCAATATGTCTTGACACTTCAGACTTCAATCATCTGATCCAACAAAMCCAACAACAGTCAATAGAAGAATAAGCTGTTTGTCATCAGTCAAGATTATTTGATACATTTTTTGAGATGAGATTTGAACCAGAGGCTTTCTTTTTGTGCAATAACTGTGCTGACCACCACTCCACCATGCAGCTTCATAAAGAACAAAATCATTGAATTTAAAGCCAAACTGGGTAAAATTACGAGAAYGAACCCAAAATGTTTTACAAACATAGAAATTCTTTATTACAACAGCATCTCACTCAAGTTTTTGGCCGTACCCCACCCAAAAAGAAGAAAACACATTCAAATCACTGCCAAACAGTGAAAAAAAATGTTTTTTTTCTAAAATCACAGCAGAAAAATGATCTTTGAACATATCCTAACACATCATTCACAGTTCGGGATGTTTAGTCGTGATGAGAAGAAGTTCAGCAAGCTGTTGGTTTTTTATGATTGGCGCCGTCACTAAAACACCCTCTGAGAAAAACGTATCTTCAAATTCCTGTTTCCACAGAACATATGAAAAAAAAACGGTCCGTGTCATTCAGACGTGTCTGCGTGTTTTGTCTTTTGTATTCTCAACAACTGGAAATAAAATACCACTTCAACACATCATCAAGCTAAAAAAAACTTAAAGTTTGCTCTCCCTGCTTCTGTCTGCGTTTTTTCCCTTCCTTACAATATTAACAGAATGTGCAGAAATTATACCTGACAGAAAAACACATGACAATAGAATGTCATTTTCTTACAGCACCGATGTGCAGTAAAACCCTGATGAGAAGGGTAGTCCAAGGAAAATATCTGTATTTTTCTTTCAGACTAGGTTCAAAACAACAATAAAAGGCAAATACTGCATCCTTGTTTGAAACATACTGCAGGAACCAATGCTTAGATTCACCGACAGAAAACTAAAATTCRCACGCCAGCATACATAACATTAACTTACAGCTTTGCTAAAAAAAAAATAATAATAATAACATACAGTTTATCACAAAAAACAGTGAAAGGAATAGATTTGAGTTTGTAGTTGCGCCTCCAGAGAACACTGCTTTTATGATTCATATCAAAATACACTGAATGGCCGAAAGTTTGTTGACCCTGAAACTGAGTTATAAGCTAAGACATCAGATCTCAGCTGTTTTTTTATTTCATTTATTTTTTTGCTAATGAAGAAAAAAACATGTTAGAAAATCTGTATTTGTAAAATAAGTATTATGAGAGACCTCAGTATGTACACCTCCTGATGTTTTATTATCACACTGCTTTAAACGGGAAACTATCAGTCAGCTAATGAAAGCCAAACAAGTCTAATTATTCTGTGTATTTTATTGCTGTTATCTCTAAAACTAAAACCTTTTTCTTAATAATGRTTAACTTGCCCACTTGTCGGACATGGAAAGACAATTGTCCCTTAAGAAAAAAAAAACATAAATTCAATCACAAAACAAACCTGTGGAATAAAGTTTTGAGTATTTTTCAGCAGGTGATACCTCATTTGTTAATTACAAGTAAGTAAAAGTTTTAAATCAAAAAATCTAATTGAAAAATTATGTTCTTTGTTTTTTAAATGACAAATTAACTTCATTGACTGAGTGAAAACCAAAATGCAGCAAATTCTCAACCTCATGGTAATTTCCCTTTTCTTACGCAGCGTTTGAAGTGCATCTAAAGGGCCTTCAKGTGTTTCATGAGCCGAAACTTAGGATGCAGAAATATTTTATTGACAACTTTTATCAGAAGTGGGAAAACATGTTTCCTGAAACACTATATGTCCTCCAAGGTAGTTTTCGGAGTTAAAGTTAATTTTCCGTATATATGTGGTTGTTTKTCGCCTGTTCGATCTCAATAAACTCTGAAGTCTCCTCTGCTATTTGTCCAGGGATACGGAAATCAATGGGAATGGGCTGCGCTGTCTCAGCTGGCTGGCACTGAGCCACGGGGCAGCAAGCTTCGCCCTTGGGACTGGAAGTGCTGCGAGAGTTCGGAGGATCCAAATTGCAGCCGGTGCCCTGAAGAAACTGAAGGAAGTTCTCCTCGATGGATCCCTCGCGGCTCGGCAGCCTGTCCTCCACCTCGACCCCGGCTCGGCGAAACAAGCAGGGCAGATGCTTGCCCAGCTCCTCRCGGATCTGCCTGTTCAAGCAGCCGTAGAAGAAGGGGTTAGAGGTGAAGCAGAAGTAGCCGATCCAGGTGACCACCTCCTCCAGGGAGGCCAGTGTGGCAGGCGGGCTGGCAGCCAGTGCTGAATACAAGTGGAAAGTGAAGTAGGGGAGCCAGCAGCAGAGAAACTGCCCACCTACAGCGGCGAGCACTGCTGCGGCCTTGCCACCCCCGAAGGGTCGCTGCGGAGTGGCTCTGTCAGTCCCGGTACCCGTCCCAGAGCTGGTAACCATAGTGGATCGGCTGCTGAGGGAYTCGGACCTCTGGCGACGGGGCGTTTCCATCCACGTGGGAAGCGGCCCGTGGTGCATGGCGGCTACACGAGCAACTTTGAACATGTTGCAGTACACGACGAGGATGACCAGCAGCGGACACAGGAAGTACACCAGAGTGAAGAGGACCATGAAGGCTAAGCGGTTTGACCCTCCCCCAGTCCAGTGCAACGAGCAGCGCCTGTGACCCTGAGCCGGGGGTGATGGGATGGCCCCTCCGCCTCCTCCCCCGACGCCGCTACCTTCCAGCAGAGGAGTCCTGCCGCTTTGTAGGAACCAGGCGAGCAGCGGCAGAGCCGACATGGCCAGAGCTTTGACCCATATCCCCACTAAGACCGAGGCCACCAGGCCGACGGTCATCTTCACTTCGTARCGCATGGGATGGATGATGTAGTAGTACCGCTCCACGTTGATGACTGAGATGGACAGAATGGCAGCACTGACCAGGCACACGCTGAGAAAGAGGTAGCTCCTGCACAAAGCCTCCCCGAAAAACGCTCGGCCAGAGAGCATGCCGAGCGGCATCAGCACCAGGGCCGCCAGCAGGTCCACCACGCACAGGTGGAAGACAAAGGCAAATTTGTGGAGCTGGGGGGCCTTCGCGATGACTGCCATGACAGCCACRTTGCCCACCACAGCCAGGAGGTCCATGAGCAGCATTGCTAGCAGGGCTAGTGACTGGGACAGGGCCCAGCCCTCGGACAGAGAGGAGGCAGACGTGTTGGAAGAGGGCTGAGGAGGTGTTTGGGAGGAGTTCCACATCGGCTCCATCGAAGGACGGGATGAGGCAGGCGGGCAGGGTCAGTCACAGGCCCATCACCCATCCTTCAAAGCCAGGAAGTGCAGCCAAAAAAAAAAAACAAGAAAAAAACAGTGGCTGAAGAACGAAACTGAAGGTTTCCTTGTAGCTCAGATGATGATGGAGAGATCGTCAGGAGGTTCAGGCTTTATGATTCCTGTTGGTTCAGAAAATCCTATCTGCAATCAGTCACATCCAATCCTAAAAACACAGAGGATCACAGGATAAGAAGTGAGTTTATTTTATTTTTTACACATTTCTTCTTTTCTAACTCCAACTGTTTGCATTGTTTGAGATGTGGTTTTGTAATATTTCCATTAAATATTATCAATCCAAGCACTTTTAAAGCCAAATTAAAAAATCCCTCTCAGACAAAATGTTTTAAACAAGTTTTGTGCCACTAAGTTGACACTGAGAGCTAGAAATAAACGAATAAACAAAATGTTTTCTTTYCTAAATGAATATTCTTGTGGTCCAGCAGCAGATGATATTTACTTTTCAAGCACACATCCTGTCAATGCCTGAATGCAATGGTAATTCACCAAAACTAATCCTACCACTGAAAAGGCACCAGCACTTATCTACTGCAGCTTTTGTTTACACTATATCTATATAACTTACAAAATAAAAGCCTTTAGATATGCTTGTGTGTACAGGGCTAATTTTACTTTGTGATTATCAACAGCAGAGGAAGTCTGACGCCGACTCCCTGTGTAAACTCAGTGTTTAGAATGAGGGACCTGTGAGTAATATGTGTGTGTGTGTGTGTGTGTGTGTGTGTGTGTGTGTGTGTGTGTGTGTGTGTGTGTGTGTGTGTGTGTGTGTGTGTGNGTGTGTGTGTGTGTGTGTGTGTGTGTGTGTGTGTGTGTGTCATAGAATTTACATGTTTAGTTGCTGCAGCAAAAGGCTGGGACGTTCTGTGAATGAAAACCCCACAAATATGTGGGTCAAAACATCTAAGATCTCTCGTCTCACACACACAGCTACTCCCAGTTCAGATGAATCCTCCTGCTTGATTTGGTCCGGTTACTCTTTCCTCTGGTAATCATTAATGCAACAGAGCCATTATGAAGAAAGGCCACATTCTTTAAATATAAAAGTACAGTTTAAGTCGGTGTATCTGTTGCACTCAGCAGAATGTGATCAGGAGATGGGAAGAAGAGGGCAGAGCCAGAAGATTTGCTGAGAATCAGAGGGCAGCCAAACAGAAAGAGAGCATTGTGCACATGAATCAGAATATTTCCTGATGCATCTGTCTGCTGCTTGCCTCTCTTAGGAGGAAAATCCTGCTTTTGCTCCCACTGCTGAGCTGCACACTGGAAATCAATCACTGTACCTTATAAATGATGCTGAGGCACTTCCCACGGTAAGAGCCGGCCTCTTTTTCTCCCCCGTCCCCTGGTCTGCCTGTGCATCCTTTCTCCCTGGATGACTACAGCTGTGGCGGCAGGGATTCTTCTGAAAGGATGCTGATGTAAACGCTCGCAAAGAAGACACCAGCTCCCTCTCTCTGCTCCCCCCCCCACCCCCCCCCCCCCCCCCCCGCTCCCCCCCCCACCCCACCCCACCCCACCTCCACTCACACTCAGTGACCACAGAGATGGAGCAGGAGGCTGTGAGGAACAGAACCAGAGCTGCTTCCTCCACGGGGTCCTAGTGTTCCCAGTGTTTTGTCAGCTTTTAGTTCTAAAAAAGGGAACCTATTAATAAAATATGTAGACACCATGGAGTTAGCATAGATTARCATGGTGCTAAGGATGTTCAGTTTCTCAAGCTGACAGCCGATTTGAAGCTGTTCTAGAGTAAGTTTCAGCTAAATATTTGCCTATTTCTAAAATTATTTGGTGCAAAATGTCCTGATGCATCTCAGTAATCCAGGTAAAAAATCAAAAGGAAAAAAATGTATAGGTCCTATACCCTAACCATAGGTTGTTTTATTTGGTGCAAAGTTTTCAATGAACTGAATCTCAATTACCTCTTTTAGATTTTTGTATTGGTTAGCATTTTATTACGTTTATTCAGAATTTCGATACTTTTAGTTTCCAGATAGCTTTTTTTTTATTTTAGCTAGCCTTTTGCTAATTTTAGCTAGACTTTTTCTACTTTTAACTTACATTTTGCCACTTTTAGTTAGCATTTTGCTTTTTAGCTAACCTTTTGTTATTTTTACCTGACTTTTAGATAGTTTATCTAGCATTTTGTCTATTTTTAACTAGCCTTTAGCCACTTTTAGCTTACAGCAAGCATTTTGCCACTACTAGCTGGTGTTTTGCTTTTTATTTTTAGGTAGAGTTTTGGTTATTTTAGCTTGTGCGCTGCTTCTTTTAGCTTTAAGAATTCAGTTTGAGCTTTTGTTATTCCAACGCTCTGTATTTTCACAGAAAATAGTTGCATCAATCAACAAAAATTTATTTTTGTGTCTAACCACTTTTTCTGCTGAAAAAAAAATAAATTTGTTTGCTGCACTAAATTGACATAGCGATTGATTTGCCTGTTTAACTTTGAGGGGCAAAACATAAAGCCACATTTTCTTAGCTTCTCACCCAAAGCCAATATAATCTACTGCTATTGATTGGAACGCGTGGCCTCTGCACAACCTTTAGGTCATAAATCCTTGAATTACTCCAGTCTCTTATATCTAATTCCCAAATTCCTGGCTCCTCTACCAGTTTATCCACATTGTCAATGATAATTCAATTAGCCCTTTCATGGATATAAAGTGTCTCGTAGTACAAGCTTCCCCGAGCCGGTGAGGCATTGATTAGGCCGGGCCACAGCCTCCACACTCCCAGCTTCTCAAACAGGGACTCTTGTTGCCACGGTGATCTTTTTCACATACAGTTCATCTCATTGCTCCATCTGCGGAGGACAATGAAATCTGGGTTATTATGGATAAGGCTACTCTGCAGAAGGAGTGGGCACGGAGCTGCTCAGTCCCGCGCATTTCATTTGCATTTGCAAAGTTCCCCCACAATAATACACACCATATTTGCATGTGACTGAAATCACTCCTTGCACCTTTTTGACCACTGAAAACCCTGTTTTAATACACTGCACCTTTAAAGGGGCAATATTATGTGTTTCTCAGGCATATATTTAAATACTGTACCATAATAAAGTATCTATGTCACCTTCAGCTGTTATTAAAATGCTGTTTTATGTTTAA